CACACACACACACACTCACACACACACTCGCTCTCTCTCTCTCACACACACACACACAGCGCTGCGAGGGAAGGACTGAGTGGTCGTGGTCAGTCTGATTGGGTTGGGATTCAGAGGGTTTGTTTTATGCCGTTTCAGTAACTCCTGACCTTCTCCTCAGGATTTGATGTGCTTTGAGTCTCTGAATCATAATGCTGCTACACCTGTGTAGTGTAAAGGTCAGTGCTCTTCCTCCTTCATCATCACCATCATCTTCACCGCCGTTTACTCTTCATCACCACCACAGCTCTAAAGCACTTATGTAAACCGTGTGAACTCTTACGCCATGGATTTTGTTTAGTACTTTAATCTTAAACTACTGACAGATCACTCCTAACTTTTTATTTATTTATTTATTTTTTGAGAGTGCTCCAGAGGAGGTACTCATCATATCAGACTGATGTTAAGAGTGTGGCATTCATCGTGATTCGTACTTCAGCCCTTATGTGTTCAATGGTTGATGGCTTGTGCATAAAACTGTAAACAGGGTTTCTGCAGGTATTAAAAAGTCTAAATTCACCCTTCCACAAAATTAAGACCTAAAAAGGTCACAGCAAAAAGTCTTAAATTCATAAATTCCTAGCATTAAATGTGGCATGCACTAAACGTAATATCAGTTTTTTGTCTGGTTTTCCAGTACAAATATCTAAACATCCCTAAATCCAGATACATGTACTTCATTAAGATGCAAATTGAGTATGTGAAGTCTTGTTTTCTAAGAAATTGAACACAATTAAGTGAGTTTATGCTTAAAATAAGAACAAATATGAATATCAATGAGGAATGAAAACTTGTTCTCCGTTTAAATTAAGTTGATATTTTGAGCCCATCGACAGATATGTGTTCTTGTTTTAATCACAAACTCACTCAGAAAACTCTCAGACTTCTTATTTTGTCATTTTGTTTCTCAAGTAAATGTATCTTGATTTAAGAGTCTTTGGACATTTGCACTGGAAAACAAAACATCGATTTGTTGCAGTGTGATCAGAAGGAACAGTACATGTTATTTTTTTTGTTTTGGTAAACTTAATGAAAACATAATGGAGATCTGTTGGACGTTGCATTTTTAAACAAGACATTTGCATTTAGAGTCCATACTGACATATTGTGTTTCAATTTATTCCTTAATTGTTCTTTAACTGATCTTAAAAAATGTCTTAAAAAGTCTTAGTTCATAAAACCTGCAGAAACCCTGTGTAAGGAAATGATGAGAATGCCTCATTGTTGTGCATAAAAGCTGATGTTAAAGTTTTTTGCCGAAATGTTGAGATTTCACTTTTGTGATTGCACCTTCAAACTAAAGATTATTTAATCAATTACATTACAATTCAGTGAAATTACATTTATTTGCAGATATTGCATGTATTTTAGAATGGGTTTAGGCCTTGAATAAATATTTGTAGTGACAATGTTTAAAATGTTTTATTTAGTTTCTTAATATATATATATATATATATATATATTAGTGCTGTAAAATGATTAATCGCGATTAATCACATCCAAAATAAAAGTTTTTGTTTACATAATATATGTGTGTATAATGTATATATTTATTATGTATATATAAATACACACACATGCATATATATTTTTATTTAAAATATGTTATGTTTATATGTTCAATATATTTATATATAATATAA